GGTCATCCACACCTACAATTCAGCTACTGACTGAATCAAAATGATGCATAAAAATGTAAAGGTCTGTGAAATGCAATAGTTACGTCAATTTGAGCCTTAGATATTAGTCAGAACTTTTCCCTACACAGAGAAAGTAATTTGCTTCCTTTACACTGTGCTGCTTTGAAACCACTGTGAGTCTCGGCAGCACTGGTGGCAGTGGCAGTCACTTCCTCCAAGCATGAAAGCACAAACATGCACAGAGAGATGAAGCAATGTAATGCTTAGAGGTAATTAAAATGGTTATAGCCAATGATCCTTGCTAAGAGGAGGGAACAGATTTACACTCACTTCTGGCTATAAGAAGAAATCAGTGTTCACAAAAAGGGAACATTGATAGCCAATTCATTAATTGTAATTGTTGAGCTACCATAATTCAGTCAGCAAAATCACTTAATAAATGAATCATTCAGCACAGTCTGTAAACAATACCATGGCTTTTGGAGGAGCAAGTTTTTTTTTAAACTTCAAGTACCGCCTTTTTCACCTACATAATATTGCAAAACTCAGGAACATCCTGTCTCAAAATGATTCTGAATGAAAGGTCGCTGTGGTAACGACTTGTCAGTCACAAGGTAGCCACGCCCTAAAGCATACCCTGCTTTATCTTCAATTATCCTCTAAATAGGACCTTTTTTTTAAAAATAAGCATCATGTTGTTCTGAAGAAGACTTGAAACTAGCTATTGACAGCATAAACTCTTTAGGAAAGCATTTACTGAGGTAATAAATCGAGTAAGAAGTAGGTTATTTTGTCATTGACTCCAAAACAATTGGACTTCTTTTTGCAACCAGTGGCGTCATCCCTTTCTGGCCATCAGAAAGAATGCAGGTTTAAGACACTTATTGGCTTGAAGTTTGATACCAGGAGGTCCCCCCTTGGTACTGCCATAATAACAGATGTTACATGATTGCCATCTTTGAGCCTGTGTAATATGTGAATGTTTGTTGTCTTTCAGCAACTGAGTAGGTTGATCTTTTAAACATGAAATCATTAGACATGAAATAAATGTTGTAAATTCTTTAGGAAATACATTGAAACAAAGAAAATAACATCTCACTTTGAGAAAAAGAAACTGAAAAGAACCAGTCTAGCTACTCAATTCCTGTTTTTGTAACATCACAAACGTTTAAAAAGTCAGAACTAGGTTTGTTGTCACACTTTTCACACCATCTAATATTTACTGAGCACCGTACATCACAATGGTACAAATGCCATACCAAATGAAAGAATAAAGTCTTGGGCAGAAGTTTTGTATTCATTACAAATTCATATCTTATCTCATTATGGAGCTGTAGACTGTTGAATAGAGAGTGTGCACAATTTGCCCCATCGGCAGGTAAGTTGTCACACTGGATTATCAAACAGTTAGAACACTTAATTGTGAATATTGATTTCAATTTCAAATTGTAACCAGAACCAGAATCAACAATAAAGCCTAGTACGTAGCTTGTCGTCATAGTGAGGCCACACACAACTGCCACGACTTAATGTTCAATGCGACACACACACCAGCTCTTAACACACAGCTTTCTCTTTTTTAAGGTAAAACGTTTCAACATTACTCAGAATGTAAAGATAGATAAGCGGTATGAAAACCTTCCAGCTGTGTTTTCTTCTGCCGTTGTTGCTGCAGCGGTCTGTGTGACGGCGGGAGCAGAGGGCTCTGTGAGCGGGCGGTTGGCACAGGCATCCCCCACAGCCACTTGCAGAGCTCCTCAACTCTGAAAATGCAGTGAATAGTGAATATTCTCTCTGACCAATCAGCAGTCTGCCATGTTTTCACGTTACATTTTAGTATCCCTCAGCCAAACAAAACCAAACAAAGGCGAGTCGAGCCAAGTCGAGCTGGTAATGTGCAGTGGAAAAGGGGCTTAACTAAAATCAAAGCGCCTGCGCTCAGACTAGCTTGGTTTGAGGGCGTGCCTGACCCCAGCTATCCGCTTGGCAAGCTTTATGACGCGTTTTCCTTGTGACGTCACAGGGAAGGAAGGGAAACGGCTGGACTACAAACGAGCTGTTTTCAAGCAGTTCAGAGTAGAGCTTTCTGTGGGAGATGGGAACTCCCTTTGGGCTGGACTTTGGGCTTCTTCACTTTGCAAACCTATTACATGCACAAAAAATATATATAACTCAATATAGGAGAGGGGAAAATCCAAAAAGCATAATAACACCTCTTTAAGTGGGACAACCTCTTTCTTTGAACTTTAAAATCAAATGTTCTCTGGAGTGCAAATAGATCTATGGTAATTGAATGTAATGCTGCAGATAACTTGCTCAAATGTATAACTTCTTAACTTAACAGATGTGGTGTTTAAACACACAAATGCAACAATGTGCATTTTTGTACGACGTACGTATCTGACTAATCAGACGTGTTTAGAGTCACAGTTCTGGCACACATAAATTGCCTGGCCTGAGGTTCAAGCATCGCAGGCCCAATTGTTGCATTTCACACACTTAAACCACATTTTCCTTCGAATACTGCATGAAAATGGCTCCACATAGATGAGGCCAAAAGAGATTTCAGCGGCTTACGTCAAAATCCTTAGCTGTACTTCTGGTTGATTTGTTCTTCAACTTCACCTGCCTGACTGTCGTTAACTTTATGTAAGGCGGTGTAGTGTCATTCTGTCTTCAGTTGATAATTTTCTTCCTTCCTTCAAAAACACATTCCTCCTTGTAATTACAAGCTTATTTGTCTATTACCCTTGTTACCCTTGCCTAACAAAATTAATGCCTGTATCATAGTGTGTGTGTGTTTGTATCTACTAACATACTGCATGCCTATGGTACGGAATACATAAAATGTAAAGTGCAAATGTTTTACTTTGAAGCAAAAAATAAATAAAATTGTGCTAATCTCAGATTAGAGTGACCTTGACCACATGTGAACAGGAGGTTGAACATAGAGAAAGAACTCACACAAAATGGCTATTTGATTTTTGAGATAGAGCCTCTAGTGTTGGAGTTATGAGCAGTGTGACAACTTACACACGAGACAATTTACTCTGCTCTCCCCTACTCAGCTAGCGGAGTATCCGGTACAGATAATCTACTTTTTACAAGTAGGAGTATCATCAGAGCATAATTGGTCACAATCTATTTTCTAAAAAACAATATTTGTTCTGAAGCTCAATTCTGAGGCTGTTCTGTGAATAGTTTTCTAACAAATAGAGCAACTTCTGATCAACTCGTGTTAATTGCAGGCTTAAATTAAGAACATTAGTGCCACAGATCCAGAAACACCTGCAGAAAGTGAAAGTAGAGAGGAGAGCACAAGACTATGGGAGAGGGAAGAAGTCGAGTTAGTAACATGCATTATGGGATAAGAATGTATATAGATAGAGAGAGAGGAGGAGAGAGGACCTCAGCGCATAATGGGAAGTACCCTGGCAGTTTAAGCCTATAGCAGCATAACTAAGGGATGGCTCAGGACTCAGCTGAGCCCTAACTATAAGCTTTATCAAAGAGCAAAGTCTTAAGCCAACTCCCTAACTGGGAGCTGGTTCCACAGGAAAGGAGCTTAAGAGCTGACAGTTCTGGCTTCCATTTAACTTTTGGAGACTCTAGGAACCACAAGCAACCCTTCATTCTGGGTGCACAGTTCTCTGATGTGGTAGTAAGTCACTATGAGCTCTCCAAGATAAGATGGTGCCTGACCATTAAGAGCTTTGTAGGTAAGAAGAAGGATTTTCAGTTATATTCTGGATTTTACAGGAAGCCAGTGTAGAGAAGCTAAAACAGGAGGAATATGATATCTTTTCCTAGATCCTGTTTTTAAATTATGGTCCTATTTAGAGGGAAATTGATGATAAAGCAGGGCATGCTTTAGGGCGTGGCTACCTTGTGACTGACAAGTCGTTACCACAGCGACCTTTCATTCAGGATAGATGCGCATCGAATCCACTGCACTGTGTACGTTTAACCAGTACCTCAAAGATTGATTGTTGCAGCCTAAAATGCGCAATTTGGTGGAAGGTTTTATAAAAAAAAATGTCTTGTTCAGGGTTTGGGTTGAACTAAAAGAGTCAGCAGTAATTTTTTTCCAGAAAGTACATTTTCTTTTAAGGCTGTGTTTGCTAGCCAAAATTTGCATCCCAATCAGTGTCACAGATAAGTACCAAGCAAATTAGCTCCACTCTCTTGTCTGAAAATGATCACATCTTGTTCCAAAAAACAAGATGATTACAGCAAAAATGCTTAATTCGAGGCTTAAAAATGGCAGTCCACAAACCAAGAGGTTCTGCATGGTGGCTACGTCCACTTCTTTTATACAGTCTATGGTCATCAATACACACACATATGTCCCTATACACCAACTTAATTACACATAACATAATGTGCAGTAGATTTTGCATTGCACACTCACTTCCTTTGTTCCTTGTTCCCTGTATGGGTTAATGATATCACCTGACAGTGAGTTAAAGAGGGTCATAAATTAGCCCATTGTCACTTAACCTTCCTCCCTGCGTTCTGGTGGTGTTTGCTTTATGATCAAAAATAATGTGAAGACCGGATGTTTGGGGTAGCAGTTCATCTCTGAGTGGGGCCATGTGGACAGAAAATGTTAATAAATAAAATAAAAAGACACTAAATTTTCATCTGCATTGCTCCAATACACTGTGTGCATCTTTAAACATATGCTAGGCTGCACTGATGACTGTGTCAGTAGTATCATTTCCTCCAAACATAAAAGCACATACTTGCACACAGCTCTGCAAACCTCCAGCTGTATGTGGCTTGCTGGTCTGGTCGGAGACACCATGCATCTTCATAAGCTAGCATATGTGGACTTGTGGTTCTGTGTACCCGCACCGTGACACTGTGGGTTTACATGAACGTTTCGAAAGCTTTTTCAGGAAGCAGCACATCATACAGCTTTCATATGAAAACCCACAAGCCCACCTAAAGTTTGGTTAGGGGAGTATTTTTAAAGGTTTGCACACTTCTCATAACTTGTCTTTCGGGGTGTGCAAACATATTTCTCATTTCTCGTCTGCAGTGCCTAATCATTTGATTAAATCATCCACCTCTGCATCTTGTGATCCAGAATGAACACCTCTATCAGCTATCTTGTTAACAGCACTGGCAGGTAAAGTTTTTTTTTTTACTCTATTCAACAGGTCTATTTCTGATTAATCTGCAGCCTGTAAATGCACACACTAACATTTCTATCTTTGTCCATTTTATTAAAATGGACAAAGGCATAATGCAAACAGATACACAGTATGGTCACCCTGATAAGTGGTGATTGGATAATGAAGAATTAACAGGGCTTTTGAAATGCATTGATTATCTCTTATCATAACTGAGTTGGTCTAGAGATTAGGTCATTATTAAAGGTTTAGTTGTGGTCTTGAGGTTACAACTATAGCCCCTTACAATTTATTCTGCTGATAACTTTTAAAGACACAGCAATGATTACATTGATGTTGGCTTTTTAAAGGAACTCAATTAGAGAAGTAAAAATATCCACCTTTCAGTTACGTTTCCTGTATTTGGACAGTTTTAAATATTTTGATTCATTTACCGTCATAGTCTCAGATCATTTGGTCCGTCCTATGCTTGTCTTGCTTTGGGTCCCTCAACCACCTATCTTAATCACACAAAATAGCTCATTCACAAAACTCAAATAGCGCTATTCCTGAATTCTTTCAAATAAATAAATTTCAATAAAATAAAAATAAAAATAACTCAAAGCAATGGGATTGTCCTATTTTATATAATTTATGCAGAATCACCTCTACTAAATAACATAATGCAGATAAAGTGAAGAGAATTCTTCAAGTACTAAAAAACATTTTTTGCTGTAACAATATCAGCTTAATGCATTATTTGATCACTCTTAAACATTCTCAGTTTATGAGACAGACTACTTGACAACCTGAAACAAGTAAACCACCTACGCTGCAGGTTGACAAATCAACATTGCAGGTTTCTTCCATTGTGGCTACTGTGCACAATAGTCTAACCTTTCACACACCAAATACACACCCATGTACTAGTAGAGATGCATCACAAAACCCTTCATAAGCTGCACCTTTTCACATGCTCTGATCTGCTGAAATGCTGAAATGGTTGGGTAAATGTTGGCCGAACACATCAAATATTTGTAAATCTGACCATAAAAACATGCACACAAACTATTGCTCAACATAATGAACAAGGCTCAGTGAAAATAAGTTTCACATGACTGCATTTGTTGCTAATTTAAAAAAAAAAAAAATTGGTTGCCTTGTATAAGTGGAATGGATTGACATATGGAAAATTCTTTAACAACATGAGATCGATGAAGTCAGATGCGTCTGATAAGCGTTTTCTGACTAGAAATCTAAAATACGATTTTGAGAAAATGAAATTGATGAAAGAGACGTAATCATGAACATGACAGCTAACCTTGAGATTAGTGAGTGTCATCATATGTACCCCGAGTAGTAAAGTGGAATTTGCAATTCACTTGCCAATATTAGCGTTTCTAGGTCTTACGGGTTTTTGGCAACCTTTGACTTAATATGACCTCAATGAGCACAAAACACGCCACATGCATGATTAGCTGGGGATTTGAACCCTGGGCCGTTGTATTCCCAGAGATGGTGACTAAAGCCGCTTTTACACTGGAAAAAATAAAAACCACGAACAGCCACTGTTGATTTACGCTTTATGACTGGATGCGCCAACACAAGCAGATGTTTTTGTAATGTTGGTGTTATGTGAAATATTCATGTATCATTTTAACCTATTGCCTTTTTCAATAAAATTGTGAAAACAACAAATATTTCATTAATTCTGTAATTTTGTTCTGAATGAATATTGCATGCACCTCCATTGTCCTTTGTGGGTTGTGTTTTCGCCTGCATTTAGAACTTAGTTATCCACAATATTTGATTTTTCTTATCACGGTCATCAGTAAGAGAGAGGCACTGATTATATATACACATCCTCTTTCAGGCTGATTCTATACATCTCATTTTTGCAGCTCAGCCACTTTTTATTGCACATCGTAATTGCATTCTTGGCTCTTTTCCATTGTAATGAAGGACTAAAAGAATTTGGCCTGTGTCACTTCATGTTTATAACTTGTTTCTAATCAAACTTAAAAATGTAAAATACGACTGGAAAAATACTTCTAGGGGTGCCAATCGTTTTTTATCCTTCTATAATTTTACTTTAATGAAAGGGTAAGAATTGTGTGAAAGAACAAGACAACAAACAGCAAAGACATTTTTTCACAGCCAGTTTTGCCCATTTTCCCTAAGGGTGACAATCATTCTGGAAGACACTGTATTTCCACAGCCTATTAGAGACACCTTTATCCAGAATAATCTTCTAAGTAACATTTAGCAGATACATCATAACAACTCTTCAGACGTGGTTTGTTTGGTTCGTTTAGAGAGTAAATCATGAGTTAGTTTGCTAGTAGAGGGTGAACAAAATGATCTTCTCATCACCACAAAGTCTTCATACATAATCGGGCCTGCTACTACTTAGTTGTATGGTGAGTGGCCATCAAGGGCATCAGGGCATGTAGCCTATGTCCAAAGTGAGTATGTTCGTATTTATGAGAGAGAAGTCTTTTGGGTTATTGTGCTGCTAAAGATCTTGGAATGACAAGATTTTCTTTTTTGTTTTGCTCACTAATGCTGCACCTTCATGTATCAGAATCTTTGTGGACAGGAAAGTTACAGGAAATCAGGCGGAGTAGATGGAAAGTTGTGTGTCCAGTAAATTATTGCCAAAATGTTTCAGCGATACATATTCTATTACAATACAAGTACCTCTTCTTTAAATTTTTTTGCAAATGCAAATTACATTTAGAGTATTTTATTTCTTATTTTAACATGCATATTCTTTATCGCTGTATATTTCATTTAAAGATGTATTAGGTCTATGTATCTTTTCAACAGTTGAATACGACTTCTTTGAATCTGTGGAACATATTAGTAAGTTTGAAGAATTTGAATCAATTGTCATTTTCAAAGTCAAACATTGTCCAGCAACGCTTTCTTCCTTTAACATTTTTGGTGGGCGTGGCAACGACCATATCAAAAATAAATTATTTCTCTCCCTGCCTGGCCACCTGACACAGAAGAAAAAAAAAATACCAAGTACAACTAAAAGCACAGATACCTGTTACATTTGTTATTATTTGGCTTGGGGGACTAGGACCTCACTATTTCTAAAACACCTGGCTACGGCTGTCCATGCATGAAAGCTGAAAGACCTGTGGATATTATTAAATTTAACACACTTGGTAATAAGCACACAAACTATGGTAAAGGCTGATCATGCCTGTGCAGAGTCATTAAAGTGACAAATAGAGGTGACGACATATGACATTATAAACACTGTGGAGATGTAGAGATAAGTAAGAAACAAACCTCATCATGTAATGCAAAAACACACAGTGACAAGATGTTCGCCTGCTGCCTTACCTCTCCCTTTCAAACACTAGCTACCCTCCAGGCAGTCAATGGACATAAAGTTGTTACTGTTATGTAGAGACAGAGCTCAGGTAAAACTTTATGGATGAAAGGTACTTTTGTTACAAATTAATAACTCACCACTCTGAAACTCTTGCTCCAGTCTATGATGCTACGCTGGTAAGGGGAACATATACAGCTGAACCGAAGCCATGGCTGCGTCCAAAAAGTCTTTTCGCTTAGGAAGGTTCCTAACTGAGTGAAGTGCCCTGGAAGTGTTTCAGTGGCAGCCATGATGAGAGCTGGTCAAATTCTCTAAAAGCTAAGGAAAGGTGCTTCAATGCTTCCTTTCATATCTCCTTTAGCATAGGGTACACCAGACCACCCTTTATGAAAGGAAAGGAGAGTATGCTGCCCCACAATTCCTTGCGGTGGCAACATTTTAAGCGACGCACGTTCTCAAAGGTATAATCCATTGACCACATTTAGCAAAATCCTTGCAATACAGGTGTACATTATGATTCTTGAATAAGACTCACAATTTCCTTCTTTATTTTCGCTTTGCTGTAATCTAATGCTGTTTCAACACCATTTTGTGTTTCAGATTGTTGAAACATTTATTTTCAACAATAAAAAAAAAAATCACCGACCATGAAGGATGCAGCATATTGATCAAGTTACCATTGGCTATTAAGCCTTTTCTCTCTCATGCCATAGCTTGCTAATAGGCCTATTTCTTGAACTGTCAACAATAATTGAGACCCATGCTGTGTTTATAGTCTTGTAAAATGATCAAAGTGAAGATAATGTTGCAGTGTTAAGGCTTACTTTATGTATTGCCAGCCTTCAGCAATACCATTAATTAATTTTACTTCAGTCACAGATGCTGGCATTAGCCTTAATAAAGGCAATGATCAAGCTGCAGTCAGTGTTGATCACACTATCAACGCTGACTGCCATATATTGATTTTCGATTTTCTTTTTTTTTTTTTACTGATGCATCACTCCATAGCTAAATATGAAGCCTTCAACATACAGGGTGAAAAGAGGAGCTGCAGCAATGTGCAGTAAAAAATAATAAAAGAAATATGGTATTTTTTGACAATGAAACCATGTAAACCTGCTCTGGTACAATCCCTTAATAAGATTATGAACCTGAAAATGAAAATACCACCTCTTTAAAAGACACTCTCAAAGATGCGGAAAGAAATCCGAAACCATGGAATGTGCTTTTTTTTTTCTTCGGAAAGTATGTGATGTTTTAATGTTTTCCAGGAAGCTGACCATGGCCACAACCACCCCAGCCTTCAGTGCTTTCAGTACCTTAAGGGAGAATTCATTTGTAGAAGACTTATCAGGGTAAGTTTAAACCTAAAGCTGACACACATCACTTTATTTTGTTCTCGATGTTGTAATATGTGTGTGCTGTGATACAGCATTGCTAACTTCTACAGTTTCACTTTAAAAGTATAGGAATTTGTATTAGCAAGCATTCCCGTTTCAGTCTAGTATTTTGCCAAACATCTGTTCTTATGACAGGCTTTCCTGAAGTGGGCTGTAAACTTACAACGGCATTATTCATATTGCTTTGTGTTTGTTCGACAGTGCAGCTTATCTTAGTGAAAAGGTTTCAGCTTCAGTGCATAGTAGAATAGTTTTTTATATGCATAGTATGCAAGATGGTTGTAAATCCAATAAACTGTCCTGAAATGATGGGAACTTCCTTATTAATCTTCCTTGACTTGTTGTTCCCTTGTTTCTCACCAGCTCTACTACATCATCCTTCACTGAAAACATCTCTGCAACCACAGATTATTACTATTCCTACTACACTGATGAGGATTTTGGCAGATGTGTGTATGAGCGTCACGGGGCAAATTTCCTTCCATCCCTCTACTCGATTTTCTTCATCCTCGGGCTTCTGGGTAACTCTCTGGTCATCTGGGTCATTGCTTGTGGGGTTCGTCTCCGCAGCATGACCGACGTGTGTCTCCTAAATTTGGCTGTTGCAGACCTTCTCTTGGTGTGCTCCCTTCCCTTCCTAGCCCACCAAGCCCGGGACCAGTGGCTGTTTGGGGATGCAATGTGCAAAGTTGTCCTGGGTGTTTATCATATTGCTTTTTACTGTGGGATCTTCTTCATCAGCCTAATGAGCATCGACCGTTACTTGGCTATAGTACACGCTGTTTATGCTATGAGAGCACGGACAAGGTCCTTCGGAATGACTGCAGCTGCTGTTACTTGGGTGGCTGGATTTTTTGCATCTTTCCCAGACCTCATCTTTCTCAAACAGCAGTCTACTGGAGATACTTCTCAGTTTTGTTTCCCAGCATATCCCACAGTTGCTTTGGATGATATCAGTTCTTCCAACCTTCACTTCTGGAGGATCTTCAGCCTTTTTAAAATGAATATTTTGGGTCTATTTATCCCAGTTGTCCTCATGGGTTTCTGCTACTCACAGATCATCTGGAGGCTACTGGGGAGCCGGTCATCCAAAAAACAGGCCATCCGTTTAGTTCTCATAGTGGTAGCTGTGTTCCTCTGCTGCTGGGTTCCCTACAACGTTGCATCGTTCTTCAAAGCAATGGAGCTATTACACATCTATATAGAATGCAAAAGCAGCAAAGACATCCGACTGGCTTTACAAATCACTGAAGCCATTGCCTACTCTCACAGTTGCCTCAACCCCATCCTGTATGTGTTTGTTGGGGAGAAGTTCAGGAGACAGCTGCTGAAGATGATAAACAGGTCTCCCTGCAGGAAGATGATCAAGGTCTTCATACCTCAGGACAGAATCCCCGGGTCAGTCTACTCACAGACCACCAGCCTGGACGAGAGGAGCACTGCTGTGTAAAGTGGGAGTGTGTTTGTGGTTATGTGTGTTCCTGTTACTTACTATCTTACTATCTGTGGTTGTCTGCACAATGACGCCAATTCTTATGAAGTAAAGTAGAGGTAATTCTCATTTCTTACTGGCCATTTTAAGACTTCAGTTATCATATATGTTATATATATATATATATATATATATATATATATATATATATATAATGGGGGATGCATGTGTGATATGTATCCTTTTGAGAGGTGTGAGTGTGATTTAATGGTCTCATGATTTTGTAATATATATATATTTCAAGTGTTTAAGTTTTATAGGCTACATAAGAATGTTTAATGAACTTGTACTGTACATATGGTTTTTGATAATTATTTTTAAGAATATATTTTTAGTGACTTGATAATGAAACAGATTGTATCTGCACCTGAAATTGTTTCAATCAAATCATATGCTGAAGTGCGGAACTGTGTCAATTGTAACAGCTGTCAACAACGTCAGTGTTCGAAACCTCAGCAACCTCATTTAATCATCAGCTGCCGAAAGAAACAACAGGCGTTCTGCAACAATCCAGAGGCTGGTCTAGATAGAGGCTAGATACTGATCATTTCCTTGCATTCAGTTAGGGAAGACACCATTATGAAAAGTGCAACAAATATAAGCTTTTATCTGCACATGATGACCCCCTCTGCACAACTGCATCAGTTTTGTCTGTATCAAACTGCTGTACAGCAAAAACAAAAAGGTCCCGGTGCAGTTGTCTACTTTTGTAAGTTTCATAGCTGCAGATTTGCACTTAACCGCGACCTAGAGAAAACCACAACATGGAAGGGGAAGTACTATCTAAGGTTGTCAGGTTGTCAGTTTAAACTTTGCAGTTGCTGTGCACAAGTGAGCATTTCACTGCCAACATTTTAAACTATTTCTGCAACATTTCTACTGAAATTGATCAACATTTCACAACTAAAGGTAATTTTCTGATAAGATTTTAAGGAGTATAATGACATGATACAACTAATTACTATGCTTTAATTAAGAAATACCCTTATTAAATCATCATACTCTACTATATTAATAATAATATAATAATAATCCTTATTTGTAGAGCACTTTTAAAAAACAAGTTACAAAGTGCTTTAACAAGTGTAAAGAATAATACAAAAAAAACAAGATAAGAGCATGAAAAATTAATATAAAATATAAATATTAAGTCATTAACCACAGCTCCTCTCATTTTCACAAAGTTGGATGACTCCATAAAGACAGATATTAAAAAGAACTGTCAAAATTGAAGCAGCAGAGGCTGAATAACATCTGATGTCCAGTCCCTAGTGGATCAAGGTCCATCACCACCGAATCCTACAATTCCCATAATGCAACTAGATAGCGTCTTTCATTAAACCCTCCCTGCCTGGTAAATGCATGTATTTTAAACTCCATGTTTGTAGTGCAGGCTTTCTATTATATTATTGGAGATGGTGATGGAGCAGTGGATATGACACGTGCCTTTGGTGTGAGAAATCCGGGTTCAATTCCCACTTTGACACATCCACCAATATAACACACTTAACCCCCGAGTTGCTCCAGAGTCATGTGACCTCTGATGTATATAGCTTCAGCTAAATGAATGAATATAAATTTAATGTATAAATGTGTCTTGAAGCCCAAGCTGAGATACCCTGATAACTTCCTTCAGAAGAGCAGCCGAGTGTTTATGATGCATACCTTATAACTGCAACATGCACAGTTTGATATGAGCTGGGGACCTTTGCTGCATGTCAACCCTCTCTCTCTCCCTGCCCTTCCTTAGTGTAGCTCTACTATTGCTATCAAATAAAGGCAAAATGCCAACAAAATATTCTTTTTAAAAAAAGCTCTGTCAGACTTCAACTCTTTTCACAGACTGGAGTACTGACCTTGCCTTGTAAACCTACTATAACATATACATTAGGTGGAGTGCTGCTCACACATTAACAGTTTTCAGGCTGAAAATCAACAAAGTGGCCCCTAAATGCTAGCAGTCAGTAAAGTGACCCATGTTTTCTAGGTTGAGGCAGTTTCAACATTTTCATTCGCTGAATTACATCATATAACATTTGTTTCTATTGCATTCTATTCTCAAGAGAATCATCGTTTTGAGAACAGTTTGTTGTTGTTACAGCAATGCACACTGATGTCATATACGCAGACTGGATGTGCCAACAATAGCAGATATTTTTCTAATGTTGATGTAATGCTAAACATGTAGATTTTAAGCTTTTGCCCTTTTCCAATAAAATTTTATCATGAAAATACCTCAAATTTTTGAAATGTTTGAATTATTTATTGTTGTTTTTTTTCTGTGCAGTGATATGTTCTGTATATTTTTGAGTGTACCTCCACTGTCCTTTGTAGATTGTATTTTTTGTCCCTTTTGGAACTTTGTAATCCACAGTATTTGATTTTTCTTAGCACAGCCATCAGTAAGAGAGGGGCACTGATTCTGTTGTAGCCATGTGACACCCAGTTCTGTGGACTCTAGCTTCATTCATGAAGATTTTCTTGAAATGATTAGAAATCAAACAACACACTGAGGCAGATTGAGACTCTTTTTCTCCCTCAAAACCCAAATGGGCAAAGGATGTGAACATGAAACAGCGGGCTCCAGTGGTGACTGGTGAGATGAGTTGCTGTTAAGTACTTGAAGTCTCTGAACTGTTAAAAATCTCTTTCTTAATAACAACAACAGCCTTGTGTTATACACTGATCAGCCAGGTGAAGTGAATAACCCTGATTATCTCGTTACCATGGCACTTGTCAGTGGGTGGGATATACGTATTAGACTGCAAGTATACATTATGTGTTAGAAGCAGGAGAAATCTTAAGGATTTGAGTGACTTTGACAAGTTGTGATGGCTAGACAACTGGGTCAGAGCGTCTCCAAAACAGTAGCTTTTGTGGGGTGTTCCCGGTCAGTACCTATCAAAAGTGGTCCAAGGAAGGAAAAGCAGTGAACCAGCGGCAGGGTTAGCACCCTCAGTGATGCACATGGGGAGCGAAGGTTGGCCTAGGTCACCTAGGTTGCGGGCAGATAACTGGCACCCAGACTAGATGAGAGAGTGTCTGTGCTGCTAGTGCTTGGGCAGGAGGCATCTCCAAGCATAACAGAGAAGGACCTGTTGGACAGATAAGAGATAAGTGGCTGATTAAGACATTGTGGTCCACTGTGTCAAAGGCTGAGCTGAGGTCAAGGAGAATTAAAATGGAATACAGGCCTGCGTTGGTGATTGCAGTCATTGAAACCTTGACCAGAGCAGTCTCAGTGCTGTGCAGACAGCAAAAAAAAAATTGTGTGTTAAACAAATGAATTGTTTTTAAAATCTTGGATATAAATTTCAGTTTACTAGATGGGTCTAAAATAACCTAAAAGAGGGCACCAAAGACGGCTTATTTAAGATGGTGTATATAAAATATATATATAACGGCTTAAACATCCACACCAACCGTCTTAAAGAATGCTTTTAAAAATAAAGTCTGAATGCAGTCTGATGCGCATGTGGTTTTTTTCTGGACAGCGTAAGTGTGAAGAGACAGACAGGAAATTGGGGGTGGGGGGCAGCATCACATGCAACAAAGGTGGTTGGCTGGAATCAAACTAGTGATGTTGTGGTTATACAGGGTGCTCTGTTACCGTCACCAAGACATTCCAGGCGGATGAGTTTGAAAGTGCAACAGTGCATTCCTGTGTTGACAGACAGATTTCATTGAAGCGAGTGCATGTTGAAGATGGGTGGGAGTCAACATAAAGATCTCTGAACTGTGTACTAATGTGCTGCCGAACCCATACTATTTTGGAGTAAAATAGTAGATACTGTAAACAAGACGAAATGTTGTCAAGGATAAAAACACACCGAAGCTAAAACCTTATTTCCAGAATAATGTGCCAGAGGACTGCAGAAGTGTCTAAAATGCAGTTCTGATCATGGAACACCAAAAGGAACAACATTAGCTGAACAACCACTTGTTGCATAATTGAAGCCAATCTCTGATAAGAATGAAAGTTTTAATTAAGTTACCAAGAACTGCATGCTTTGCAATTTTGCAGTTAGCAAGAGAGTAGAAAGTAGGGGATCTAACTAAATTTGAATAACTATTCTGAAACTCTGCACTATGAAAGGAGTGGAGGGACTTACCCTCAACTGTATATATTAAAGCTGTTAAACAATTAAACCAAGGTGAGGGTGCATTTACTCAAGTGCTGTACTTAAGCACAAATCCAAGATACTTGTACTTTACTTGAGTACATATATTTAATGCAACTTTATACTCCTACTCTACTACATCTCGGATGCAAATATTGTATGTTTTACTTCACTACATTTGTCTGACAGCTTTTAGTTACTAGTTTATTTTTCACACCCCTCAAGTAAAAACCACCTATCTGCATATTGGGTGAATTTTATTTTTAATTATAAACTGAAGGATTAAGTGTTCGTTAATGGGTCGAGAAAACTCCCCTATTCTCAAGCTAAATAAAGTATTTAAAACCCATCAGCTGGAGAGTGCCTCTTCACAAGGATGACAGTTCATGAAATCTTGACACGACAGAGATGTATGGTTCTCACAGGACAGCGATGCTACAAATATATGACGATCTTATAGAAAGTAATTCAATTCATTGCTACCTAATGGTATTTAAAGAAGGTTAAATGAGCACAATGCGGCAGTAATATTAATCCAAAAACATCATGTATAATGGTAAAACACTGACAGGGAACATTTTACTACAGAGTTAGTACTTTTACTTTTGATACTCAAATTTAAAGTAAATGTAGCTGATACATAAGTTTACTTAAATACGGTTTTGAATGCACGACATTTTACTTGTAGTAGATAATGTTCATAGTGTGGTATTGTTAATTTTTCTTAAGTAAAGGATCTGAATATTTCTTCCACCACTACTTCTGTTAATAACAATGGAAGTCAGTTGGATTCTGTGGACTCTGTCCCCAGTTTGTACTTTTAACCCCCCTGGTGTTACTGTAACTAAGCATGTGACGTAATGATCTACCAGTTGTTTCATGCGGGTGTTTGATTGTCAAACCATTACATTAGTTCTTTAGCGCCACCCAGTGGTCTTGCATAAACCGGCTGCGCTGTAGGCGTATTGTATGTTTGATAATCATCTTACAGTGGGTGACAGTTTGCTTGTGTGTAGGTGACAATCATGTAATTTTCTCTGCAGCTGGCTTGACTTTCTAGGTATTTTTCAAAGAGTGCTGAGAAATCCTTTTTACTAATTACGGCCGGGTTAGATAAAGTGATAGTTTGTTCATTCAAGTCTTCTCAGGGTTTCACTTGTTTAAACCATGAAAAGACCAGTCAGAGAGGGATTTCTGTGTGTGAGTAAGCGCTGGATACAGTGGGTGAAGGAGACAGAAGGATGCCCAGAATTTAAGTGAGCTATCACAGAGTGGGAAATAACTAAGAAATGCACATCGTGAGAGACATCATGTAATCAATGGAAATATCATGCAGCATTTGTTGGCAAGCCAAACCAAATGTGTAAACCATCCCTTGAGACCCAAATGTGACAAAGGTGAAAGACCATGCCTGCATGCAACACCTTTACGCTTAACAGCTCTTGCATGAGATTTTGATCATAAGATTGTGTGCAGAGATTGTGGTCTTATGCAAAGTATTTGCTGTTGCTGCTGCTAAGAAAAACTAAATGGATTTCACATGACAGGAAAAGTTTTTTCCTTCCACGCATCTGTGTACAAACACAGAATACTGTATAACGTGCAGAGGCCCAGGTACAGTACTGCACGTGAACAAAGGAAAATCGGCAGACCAGCTGTTAGTTATGGGCATATGTGAACAACATCCGTTTTGTCAATTTCTGAACATGTTGAATTTCACACAATTGCACAATAACTTGCTTCCTACTCATACATTTTCTGTGTTATCTTCAACCAGACTTCAGTCTTCATGGTAACTTCTCTCGTTTGATTTATGAAAACTGAGTGACTGACATTAGAAGTGGATTAAGGGGGTGGGGGAATTGTGTTGTTGACAGTCTACCGATTCATGCAAGGCAGCCGCATCTGCAGAGGACAGATAAGATCAGTAACACCCTCGAGTTCTTTTTTTATGGGGTTATCACAGGTACAGATCTTCATCAGGGTAAACACATTCATTTAGTATCACTGTGCACATCTCTTTCTTGTTTTTATCTTATCTCGCTGTTCATTGTTGGCCTCTTTTATGCAATAAAGTAACACGAACATTATCGCACTTGCGAGGCTGATGTGTTGCTTTTGTCGCACGAGCTACTCTGAAATGCAAAGAAAAACAAATTCAGTGTAAATTCAGCCTTAATGTCACAGAATGGAAGATTTTTATTATTACCGTCTTCATTCATTTTTAATGGCCCTTTCAGGGTTTTCCCCTGCCTTCTACTCATGCCAGGAATACAGAATTGTCTCGCCTTCCAACGCTAAAAGGTTATGGGAAATAATACACGAATAAAAATGGTTTCAAGACACAAACTACACTTTCATGTGTGGGTGTGTGTATTTATACTATATGTCAACACAAAGGTTTGGGGGAAACCAGTTGTTCCTTGTACGTTTAATGGCAAAATAACAGAGGACAAAAGAAAATATTTACAACACTTAGTAACATGTAAACACAATATTCTGTACAAAGAAATATACATGCAAAAGTAAAAATAAGTCATAATAAGACATTCAAAATGACATTGCTGCAATCTTGTTCTATGTGTATTTAAAATATGACATAGTTATGAGGTTTACATCCTGGGTGTGGGCAAACTGCCCGACCCCCTCTGTACATCTTTACATCTTGTATAGGCTGAGTTTCCCAAAGGCATTTTATCACTTAGATCATATTCTTCCATGAATAGGTTTTAAGAGAATTTGATAAACTGATGAACACCCATGATTTTGGGAAACCCAGATCCACACCAATAAATAAAAAATGACCCAAAATGAGAGACTTAGACAGTACAGATCAACAAGAGTCATTGAACTCAACATGTTATTGACAGCTCCTTCAAAGAAAATAAGAAAAGTTTATAGTTTAACCCAACTCTCTTTGTTGACTCACTCAACTGGCACTTTAAAAAAAGAAAAAGTAAGTTTTCAACAACTTCTTCAGCTAAAGACATGAACTCATTCAAATAAAAATAACTGGAAGAGATCTCTTTCATGGCAGACACCCGTTCATGCAACCAACTGTTGGTGGCAAAATATTTGGGTGTCTCCTAAAAAGTATAATGCATTCTACAATCATTTAAA